TCCTGGTCCTGTTCCATGTGGCCCTATAACAATGCCAACAAACTCAGGCAAAAAGAGGGTGCTTCTCTTCCCCCAGTGGAGAGCAGTATGCAACACAGCAAGGATCCTTTAAACAACTACTCCCCTAGGTGTGTTTTTTCTTTTTAAAGTGATGCAAATGGTATTTTCACATCATTATTCATCAGTATTTAGCCTCTAAAATAAATATATTACTCATACTGAGATAAAGTTATTTTAAAAGAGAAATTTAAAAGCTGGATTTGAATAAGGCCTTTTATTATTGGCATTTCATCACATACCCCTCCTTCCCTGCTGTGCATATGCTTAGAACAATTTAATAAATATACTGTATTTTCCTTCTCTATTTCAAGCTCATATCATAGTTAAGATCCTTAATTATTTCTGTTAACCAAGGAGATTTGAGTATTTGATCTTCCCACAGTTTTGGGAAACCACTTCTGTGTACACACTGGAAAGTAAATGAAAATATGTATATCTAGAGCTAAAATGAGAAGAGAGGACCCTCGTGAGCTAAGAAAATTTATTTTAAAAGATGATTTAGATAGCTAATCATTTAAGCTACCAGAGATGGTGGTGGTCTTATCAAATATTTATATACATTATACAGTTAGCCGAGTAATTCCATATGCAATTAATTTTATTTCTCTGCATTCAGGGAACATTTTCAACCCATCATCCATTCAATTTTAAAAAGAACTGAGTCATTTTCTGCCTCTTTGTGAGGATACTGAAACCATGATTTTCAGTCACAGAAAACCCAATACAAACTATTCCCTGACTTATGACTTGCCTTGCAGGCAATAGTAGATCTGTTTGTATTACATTCAACACTGACAAGAAATAATTATCTGATGAAGTATTTTGTTCAACATAGCCAATATGTACCACTCTGACAGTATAAACTCCTATTCTCCAGGACAGAACTAACTGCCTTCTGATGGTGCATTTAGCTTTTACCCTTCCTTTCCTTTGGAGAAGCATGATCAGTACTACTTAGAATATGAATATCTCTTTTAGTCAGAAAGGCCAGTGTTATAGGATGACCATTGTGATTGGTAAAAAAAAAGAAATAATTAAGGTCTGTAGGAGTAATAGTTTGGGCTAATATTATTCCCCTTACTCTTTTTTTTTTTTTTTAATGTAGGGGGAAAGGAAAGGGAAAAAAAGAGGGAAGAAAATAATTAAAGTATGCACAAGAAGTATTTTCCAATACTTGAATTAAAACAAACTCCAATAGCAAAGAAAAAAAAATCACTGTTTCATAATACTTGATATAATCAGCATACTTTCTATTAAAAAGATAAACAATGATAGCAGAAACACAGTTCATAAAAGCACAGTAAAATTTCCGTGATCCAAAAATATATCAGTAAGAAATGAAAAAATAAGCAACAGGCAGAAAATATTTTGCAAAAACATCTGATAAAAATTTTTATCCAGAATTTACGACAAATATTACATAAATAAGAAGACAAAAAACTCAATAAAAAAATGTGCAAAGGTTTGAGTAGCTATTTCACTAAAGAAGATATATGATAGCTAATAAATACATAAAATGCGCTCAGCATCATTAGTCATTAGAAAATGAAAATTAAAACCACAAGATAACATTTCATACCCAATCAAAAAGCTATTATAACGGATAAGATAGTAACAAATCGTAGAGAAGAGGTGGAAAAACAGGAATCCCCATACTGTGGGTGGAAATGTAAAATGGTGCAGCCACTTCGGAAAACAGTTTGGCAGTTTCTTAAAAAGTTAAACATAAATTTACTCTATGATACATCATAGGCATCTATCCAAGAGAAATAAGAACATATGTCCACCCAAAGAATTACACATGAATGTTTATAGCAGCACTATTCACAATAATCAAAAATTGTAAAAACCTAAATGTTCATCAACTGGTGAATGGACAGATAAAATGTAGTAATAATAGCTGTAACAGCTGAATACTATTTGCAATAAAAAGGAACAAACTTCTGATACATGGATCAACCTCAAACATTATAACAGACATAAGAGACCACATATTGTATGACTCCACTTATATAATATGTCCAGAAAAGGTAAATCTAAAGAGATAGAAAGTAGATTACTAGTTGCCTGTAGTTCGGGATGGGAATGAAATTAACATTAAATAGACATGACAAGTCTTACTGGGATAATAAAAATGTTTTAAAACTGATTCATGATGAAGGCTGCATAACTTGGTAAATATATGAAAAATTACTGAGTTAGGTGAATTACTCAATATGGGTGAATTTTATGTGTAAAATATAGCTAAATATACTGGATTTTAAAAAGAATAAATTTCACAGAAACTGCTGCTACCACTGAACTAAGGTGGAAATTGGAATAATTTCTGGCCAGTTTGGGTACCTAACAACTTCAACAAATGAATAAGAAAAGTATTAATTTATTGAAGTTACTAGGTTAATATACACTAAAAACAGTTATTTCTTCAAAGTTCTAGTTATGTTGCCTAAGACTGCTATTTCTAAACCAAAACCAAGGGAAAATCCTTCTAGAAAGAAGTTTAAATATAATATATATATATATTTTAATTGAGGTATGATTTACATAAATTATGTAAATCTTATGTATATAGCTCAATACATTTTTTTATACACACACACGTCACAAACAGACACACCCATGCAACCACCATTCAGATCAAAATATATAAGCAGAAGGCTCCTTTAATTGATATTCCCATCAAAGGTAACCACTACTTTAGTTCTATCACTATAGAAGTGCCATAGTTTTGTCTGTTTTTCTGAACTTTATATAAATATACATACTTCATACATTCCATAATATTGTCTGTAACAGTAGTACCTTCTTTTTCATTGTTGTATACAATTTATTTTCCAGTCTACTATTGACGGACAGTTGAATTTTCAACTTTTGGGAATTAAGAATAAAACAGACACAAACATCCTTATTGTTGGTCTTTTGGTGAACATCAGAACTTATTTTTGATGGGAATTCCATATAGGAGTAAAATTGCTAGATTTTAGGTAACATGCATATATAGCTTTATATGTCTTTAATTAATTTTGCCAAGCAGCTTTTTAAAGTGGTAGTATCAATTTATTGATATACTCCCACCAGCAATGTTTGACAATTTCAATTGCATTACATCCTCACTATCAATGGTACTGCCATTCCTTTTAATTTTTTGGGTATGGGTATAGTAGTAACTCATTGTCAAGAACCGTGAAGGATCTGATATTTTGCAGATATTACTTAGAATATTGGCATTTCCTAGGATTTTTATGTAAATGGAATCATATACTATGTACTTTAAAAACTATCTGGCTTCTTTCACTAAACATAATTATTTTGAGATTCATTAGTTGTTATAGTATCAATAGTTCATTTATGCCCTAGCCAGTTTGGCTCAGTGGATAGAGCGTCAGCCTGTGGATTGAAGGGTTCGATTCCAGACAAGGGCACCTGTGGGAGACAACCAACTGATGTGTGTCTCTCTCACAGTGATGCTTCTTTCTCTCTGCTTCTCCCTTTTTCTTCCGCTCTCTAAAAAACAACAATAACAACAAAAATTCCCCCCGGCCCCCAAACAAACAAATAAATAGTTCATTTCTTTTTGTTGCTGGGTAGTATCCATTGCAAAGATATACTATAATTAGTTTATCCATTCACCTGTTGATGGACATTGTTAACAATTTTTGGCTATTACAAAGAGATTTGCTATAAACATTTGTGTATGTCTTTATGCTTTCATTTGTGCACATATACTTTTATTTGTATAGATACTATTGGGCTTTTCACCTCACAATGTCTTTCTCATAAGTTATAGCATGCTAGGATTCTAATATGACATCATGGGTAAGGATCAACATATTTAAAAAAGGCCTAGGAGAGAAAATATTCTATCACCATATTAAAGCAAATAATCTTGAAAAGTTAATAATAAAATCTTCTGAATTACTGTTCTGCCAGGTGAGGCATTGTCCGCATAATGACGCATGACACATGATGACAGATGCTGATGGTCTCCCAGCGGTTGGAACAAAGAGTGACGGTTTAGAAAAGGTATGAAAATGAAAAAGAACTGGGAAAGGCAAGAAGCATTACACTATCACCTGCATAAATAATTATATCTGGGAACTAAGAGAACTTGACTACAGTAAGTAATTTATTATCTTGTATCAGTAAAATAATCCTATCCAATCATTCATCAGGGAAGTGAAAAAGACAGACTGTGATTTTATAGTATGGACAACGTTCAAATGATGACACATTTGTAAAATGCCAGAATTCCCAATTATTCTGCAAAAGTTCCTGGTCTGAATTATTAAATAGTAACTTAGGTGTAGAAAAAATATCCTTAGACATCAATTCTAAATAGCTGCTTAAGAATAATGGCTCTATATTCCAGCCATTTAAACTTCGGAACCATTCCTTTATGACTGAGGCTGCTAGTGGTATTTATTAGTTATTCTTTAGCAATGTAGGCATCTGGTAATTCTTTTATAATAAGATAGCCAGATATTGTGGAAACAGTGAGCTCTTAGAATATGGAAATAGAATTCTTGGCTCTCTGCCACTCCCTTAAACTAGAGGATGATTTCTGATAATACAAACTCTACTAAAATATACTTCAATTTAATTTAATTTAATGTTTTTTAAAACTTTAAAACCTCAAACTGAAATCCCTTCAAAGACTTCTGTGAGAAAAATGGTTTTTAGAAGTTCAACAGTGTACTTTATAAGATTCTTTTTCTGATTTTGTGTGTGTTTTTATGTATTTTGGGGAGAACTAAACAATCAACCTCTTGAGGAACACAAGCCTTCCCCCAAGTTAAAAAAGATATACACATGTATATTACCCAAACACAAAAGAGCAGCTTAATCAAAGAAGATGAATGAGAAATTTAAATACTGTAAGAGAATTTATTTTCATTTCAATATATATGCCGGTAAAATGGTCATTATTTTGAAAACCTTACCTGCTACTGAATTTGGTCGTGGCATAAGATACAGAGGAATAGATTGTACTGATTGTGATAAAACTGTTTCCAAATTCCTCTCTGGGATTTTATTCAGACTATAGGTGGAAGCTGTCATATTTTCATCTACTCGGTATAAACAGGAATCCATGCTGGATTTTTGAGATTGCCAAGGTTTTAGATTTCCTCCAGATCCTAATTCTTTACTGCTTTCCCCAACATATTTTGTGCGTTCTACATTTTCAGAATAGCTTGTCAACGTAGCTAGAAAAAAAGAGTAAAATGAATTGTTTAAAAACAACAACAACAACAACCCTGGAGATTAATCTATTAGTACTATTCAAATTCAAGATTAGATAGTGAAAATATTAGTTACATTATTTTTTAAAAGTTACTGATGATCTTTTCATTTACACCATGAAGTTTAGATAATTGAAACCAACATATATCTCTCACATATTTTCTCTTATCTCTCTTATTTTTACCTTAACAACTCTACTTAAATAAATCAAATTCCTACATCAGTGCTAAAGGACAAACAAGGAAGGCCTATCAATGCTAAAATGTTCAGCAATTTCATCAAAAGGAAATCCATATAATTTTCATGAATTACTGGAGTGCTCCAGAGGTCTCAAAAAGATCTTTATATTTATACTCTTTTTATCTTATATTTTCCCGCATTTAAATTTATTTCCTGGTCCTTTATATGTAACAAAGAATTAGGAAAAAAAAAAAAAACAAAACCAAACAGTCCCTAAGAAGAAGCTAATAGAGGAGAAAGAATCTGTCCTAATAAGGAGGCAATACAGGGCCTTTCTGTTTGTACATTGAACTGTAGCTCTAATCCTATCTAGTCCCTTAAAGAAATCAAACAAAAACCTAAAAGGCTTCTAGAACTTTATTGAGTCTTATCACCAATTATAAAGAGGAATTATAAACAGGAAAATTTCCATCAACCTTAGATATGGAAGGGCTCAAATACATTAAAATCTAGATTATAAAAATCTCAGCAATAATTATAAAACAAGAATATCATCCCAGGAGAGTTTTTAAATGTTAGTTCATATTCTCTTCTTTCATTTTAAATATTCCTATTGTTAAAAGAAGAGACTTAAGTTCATGACGTAATTTCTATGTTTCTTTTCAGTGAAGTTTTCTCTTTGGAAATTTAAATGGGAGTTCTGGACTTTATTGTAACAAGGAAAGAAGGTGAATTACAAAGACAGACAGACACCCTGCTTGTCTTCCTGCCTTGCAGCTCTTTATCAAAATATGTCCTCTGTGCATCTGAGAATTAAGTGCTGCCAACCAATCTCCATATCCCCACTGATATTAGGGAGCCCAGTGCCATGGCAACATCTCCCTGTCAACTCCATCAGAGTGGGCAGTCACCATCAGGTTTCTCAAAATACCAGTGGCCCCCACCTCCACTTAGTCATGAGTTATCCTTTTTATATATCGTCCCTATTATCCTTTTTATATATTCCTGGATTCAATTTGTTGAGAGTTTTGTTAAGGATAACAAATATCAGCTTTTTTGAAAACTGTAAGCTTGTGTAATTATTAAAAAAAAAATACATAAAATGATTAACATAAAAACCAACTCACCAATGATGCCACTATCTCTGCTTTCGAGGGTGGAAGTTGGACTAGTGACAGCCCCATAGTTGCAGTCCTTGGCTGTTGCATTTGTACTGACTGGTGGGAGGGTGGAGCAGGGGCTACTAGCTGGTGGAGAGGCAGTGCTGCTAGTCAAGGTGGAACAGGGGCTTATCCGCTGGGTGATTGCTGAGGTCTGAAAAATCGGAATGAAAAATAAGATAAACTGATCAGCTGTTAAAGTAAAATATTATCTTATGGTAAAACATAATCTTTGATGAGAAGAAGAAGAAAATCTGCATGCAGCTTGTACATTTTTTGCGGTTCTATTTGTTTTTGCCTTCCAGGATAAGATATTCTGCATTCTACAATTAAGGTGATACTTAAACTTAAAATGAGCAGAGACTGGGGCCAGTTTTTCTGCCTAGAAAATTTCCAGTAACAAGTATTCTTTATCATTAACATGAATTAATGGAAAACATTTTAAAATTAAGCACAAGTTGATCTTGCTGTTTCCAATCAATAAAACTTCTGAAAGCTTGGAACTTTGTCTTGTTCATAATTTTTCTTTGGATAGAAAAAACAAATCTTCAAATGAGAAAAAATTAAAAAAAGGTTCATAATGCAAATAATTGTGTTTTGGAAACATAGGTGGCTGTCCAGAAACACTAAATGAATGCAGGGAAAATGCTTTAATCTAAAAGCTAGTTTAATAAAATAGATCAAACAGTATTAATTTAATTAAAAACTTAATTTTTCTGTAGAAACTGATTACTAAGATCTCTTTGTATCCTGAGTAATTCTTACACCTGAAGTTACCTCCTTTTTAAGATTCTGATGGGAAGGAATAAAAATAATCACAAAAAAAGATCGGTGGTAATATATTCTGATTTACTGAATTTAATAATAATTCACTTTTCTTTAGCTCTTTCTACTCAAATAAATTACTAACATAATGAATAAAAGTACTATTTTTTTCGAACACTAAAGAAATTCTATCCTTTTCAAAATGTGTGTTGTGACAAAATCACATTAAAGAAAACTGATGATAAATTTCACATCTTTAATTCTTAATTTTAAAAGAAGCTTTTCAACTTCTTTAAATAGTCTTCATATTCTCTCTGCTGAAATGAAGATTTACATTTAATATCTGATTGGAAAAGGTGTTGATTACTAGATATGAAAATATTAAAGTTCTTTGACTCACCCTAAAATATTTCTAGATGCAATCACTTGTATTAAATTCCCCACTGGAATCCATGCACCAGGCCTCTAGTATGCATATAAGATCTTTGGTTAATCTCTTCCCGCCCTCCCCCTTTCCCCCTTCCCTCTGAGATTCATCAGTTTGTTCCATGTTTCCATGCCTGTGGTTTCTGCTCCTGTGTTGAGCGTCTGCCCCTGGTGGTCAGTGCATGCCATAGCTATCAGCCGATCGGCTGGTCGGCCAGTTGGCCGGTCACTTAGGCTTTTATATATATATTGATACTTTACCTTTGTTTAATGCTATACAGTTTTTTAAAATTTTAATATATTATTTCATTTACTCCTTTATTAACTAAGTATAAGACATATTATTTCCCTCATTTAAGAAATTTGAAAATGAAAGTATGAAAGCTATGAAGTAGCTTATTTTTTTACATATAATATAGCTTATATATTTATATACTAATTATATTGCATATTATTTTATACCCTTTATTTATATGGCATTTTATAGCTTACAAAGTATTTTAATATTTATGATTTAACTTGATCCTAACAACAATCCTGTCAGGTGTTATTATTTCATATTACACTAGAATAGTATGGTTCTTAACAGACTGCCTGGATTTAAATATTACTATACCACTTTCTGACAGTGTGTTTCCATTTTTTGTATATCTAAAAGTTAATATAAATGGACTCTACTACATTAGGTTGTAAGGAAGCTTAAATGGGTTGTAAGGAAGCTTAAATATATATATAAATTTTACTTATTGGCTTATTTACCCATTCTTTTTCTCATTCATCCAATAAATGAATCAAAACCTTAATATGACTTTTGAAAGCTAAAAATGAAACTTAAAGATGTTTTATAAACAGAACAGATCTTCAGGCTTCAAAAAGCATTCAACAATTGGGATTATTCCTCTCAACACACATACATACACACACACACCTGTGAAATTTGCCCTTCCCTGGTATAAAGGTTGATTCAGCCCATATTTCACAGAATTAGTGACAAGCAGTTTACCTGATTTTCATCTTCTACTTCCATGTTGTATTGGTCACCTGGCTGAACTTCTGTGACTTTCTCTCCAAGGAGGAAACCCAGACGAGTCATGAGTGTGTTTGCTGCCTCATCTACAGATGGAGGGGGACCAAGTTCCTGTTCGGCATCACCTAAAACAGGAAGACATTGAAACATGAATCTATCAAAATAAAATGGCCTATTTCTACAACTATTATTACATTTAGCTTGGTCATTTCCTTTGTTTTCACATTGTAAATCCAAAATAACAGGGTCCCTAAGAACCTGATTTTCCCATATTTACATATTATAACTGATATACTGTACTCAGATTATCCTCTATTTATTTACTTAAAATGACTTTGAGAGAATGTTTTTGTAACTTTCTGAATAGAAAAAGTTTCCCATTTCTTTGGCAGTTAGCCTTCTAATACAGTCCTCATCGTGGGATCTAGTTCCTGGCCATAATCACCACCCTTATTCAGGCTTTTTTTCTTTTCTTTAGAGTTTGTGTAACTATTCTTAATTTTTAAATTAAATCAGTTCAAACTTACAAAAAAAGTTTCAAGATAATACAAAGAATATTTTTTCCTTAACCATTTGAAAGTACTGACATGATGTCCCATCATCCCCAGATACTATGTATTTCCTATAAACAAAGACGTTCTCTTACATAACTACAGTACCAGCACAGAAATCAGGAAACTAACATTTTACATTATTATGATCTCATGCACAGACCCCATTTAAATTTTCACATTTGTCCCAGTAATGTCCTTTCTAGCAAAAGGAGCCAACAATTTAGGATTAATCAATGCATTTAGTTTTCAGTTCTCTTTTCTTTCTTTTGATCTGGAACAGTTTCTCAGTCTTAACTTTCATGACCTTGACACTTTTGAAGATTACAGGCCAGTTGTTTTGCACAATGCCTCTCAATTTGAGTTTATCTTATGTTACCTCATGATTTGACAAAAGCACTTCTGTGTTAACTTTGATTGCTTGGTTATGGTAGTGTCTGTCAGATTTCTCTACTCCAAAATTACACTTTTTCTCTTTGTAGTGAATAACTATTTTTCAGGGGGATACTTTGAGACTATGTAAATATTCCCTTCTTCAACAAACTCTCAAATTAAAAAAAAATATTTTTGTGATAAACACATTTGTCATTTTAACTGTTTAAGTATAAAATTCAGTGGCATTAAGTACTTTGATAATGTTGTGCAACTTTTTCCACTGTCCATTTCCAGAATTTTTTAATCTTCCCCCAAAGAAACTCTGTAACCATTAAATAATAACTCCCAATTTCTCCCCTTACTAGTACCAGTACCTAGTATCCTCTCTTCTACTTTCTGTCTCTGTGAATTTGCCTATTCTAGGTATCTCATATGAATACAATCAAACAGTATTAGTACTTTTACGTCTAGCTTATTTCACTTTGCGTAATGTTTTCAAGGTTTATTTATGTTTTAGCACGTATCAGAATTTCACTTTTTATATTTCACCCCTTTTTATGACTGAATAATATTCCATTGTGTGTATATAACACAGTTAGTTTACCTATTCATCTGATGTTGGACACTTGGGTTGTTTCAAAATATACTATCTTATGAATAATGATGATAGTATAGACACTGTTGTACAAGTATCAGTCTGAATCTCTCCTCAACAAATTTTGCCTCTTACTTTTAGCAACCATTAATTTTCTTGGTTGAATTATCACCATGCTTGCCAAAAAATGATTTTTCTAAATTAATTACTCTTTCTATGGTGTACTTTCTTTTATCCACCCATCCATCCATCCATCCATCCAAACTCAAAGATTCCTATCTTATTTAATGAGGTTATAATCTGTTACTACCGTTATTTATTTTGTTGCTCAGATTGCCCCAGATTTGGCCAGGGTAAGCTCTTTCAATTTGGCCCCTGTAACCTTTTGTCATATCCCTGTCATTTTCTGAGCACTTCTTTGCTTTTTGGCACAAGATGTTCCAGGCTCATCTTGTACTGTCCCTGCCTAGAATGAGTCTTTTTCCCAAGAAGCTCTGGTTCTTTTTAGTGAAGAAAGGTATTTAGGATATCAGGTATGTTCACTGCTATTAGGATGTCACTGTCCTCCAAGTCCACTCAGTGGACTGAGTAAGTCAGTATATTCATACATATACATACATATATGTATGCATACATAAACATACAGTAAAGGGGTTTGTTTATACAACCCCTCCTAAAATTCACAGTGATGCTCTAATTCTAATCAAATACCATACAGTTATTTATAGTTTTTCTCCTTTCCAAAGCTGTAGCTCTGTTCCCCAGTAATGACAAATCTGGCTCTCATTATCCTTAGTTACTTCATCTAGTCCCCCTACATGTAACAAATTTCACTGTTGCTCATTGCCACCCTGCACACAGATGCTCTACTTATCCTCATTGGGTTCCTACCCCATGCTAGAGAGACCTCGCTTACCACTTCTCCCACAGTCAGATAATTTTTTCAATATTGGTATATATAATTAACATACCATAAACTATCACCTTGAAGTGTACAATTCAGTGCCTTTTAGTAAAGTTATGCAACCATCACAACTCTCTAATCCAAGAATATTTTCTTCACTCCAAAAATAAATCCCTTTCAGGTTCATTTTTGCCCTGAAAATAGAACCCTTAAAATTCCTTATCTCTGGCATTCATTTTAATCCTCTGCTTCCAGACTACTACATTCTTTCCATACAATTAGTTTTTAGAGTCTCTTTCTATTTAGGCTACTTTTCAGTAGTTACCAGCTACAGAAATTACTCTTTTTCAAACCTTGTCCCTGAGGGATGCTGAACAAAGTCAGTATAAGGTTCTTCCTTGGCCTCACCATCAAGATAAATTTATTTCATAAAGAATGTATAGAAATCACATAAAAAGAAACAAGGGAACTAAAGATGACCTATTCTAAATGTGATGCAGAATGATTTATCTAAACTAAATACCTATTTACATTAACTTGATTCAATGTCAACGTTTTTTTCAGGTTTTGTTTTACATTCAGATGCATTTAATCTAACCGTATAACAATTCACAGTAGCACAGATCCTACAGGACATTACAAAAAAAAAATGTTTTAAGTCAGATATGTCCTTTCAGCTTAGCAAGCATTAGCTATAGTGTCACAGTTTGATGCCAAAATATAATTGCTTCTTAATTTTTAGAATATTTAGTATTATACATGAAACCATTCCAAATGGCAAGACATTGAGATGTACATAGTTATTATTCAGTTTAACATTTATCTTAACTTCTCTACTAAAGTCACAAGGTGGGGGTCAGAGGAAGGGACTATACGTACATTGTTGTATACTATTATTTAATTCAAGTGTTCCATCTGTGGAAAATCTATACAGAATTCTCATCGACGTTATGTCAGAGTAGAAAAACAAGCTCTATTTTCCCTTCCCTATTTTCTCTCCAAGAGGCAACAAAAATAGATTTTTCTGCCACAGACCAGAAATAAGAGAATTGGTATTTTTATGGTACAAATATTTAGATTTATATAGATTTTCTCCCAAGAATGATTAAAAGCTTCTTGTTTCTTGATAAAATAAAAAGGTAACTGCTCATTAATTACTCTTTTCCCTTTCTATAGATTAAACTAGTTAAGCTTTTCCAAGTTTTTCTCGGCATAGATTCCTGACTTCTGGATATTCTGGGGTTCCATTTCACTTTTTTCTAAAAAGTTATACTGATAATTACCAAATACTTTATATTTACTTTTTAATACTAGGTACTATGAGGATAAAACATGGAGGAGATACAGTCATTAACTTTAAAAAGTTTATAATCTATGTGGAAAATATGACATACTATATGCTTCATTTATTTAATATATAGTGCAAGTCACCGAACACTTCACAAATATTAATCTTCATAACAGCTTTATGAAGTAGGTATTATTACCTTATTTTACAAATGAGAAAATTGAGGCACAAAGAAATTAAGTTATCTACTCAAATTCACACAACCTATAAATGGTTGTAGCCCAGACTCCTCTACTCCAGAATCCATGCTCCCAACTAGTATGTTATACTGCCTTCCTCAATGGAAAGAAATATTACAATTAGTGAGAATGTTTATATAAGACACTAACCACAAAAGAAAAGATTGGTAAAGGGAAGTTTATTAATATAAAAAGCTCTGCTCATTAAAGACACTATTAAGATGGTTAAAAAGCAAGCCATAGAGTGGGAAAAGATATCTTTAATTCATATACCTTAAAAAGAACTCATATCTAGAATGTATAAAGAATCTGTATAAATTAATAAAAAAAATAAAGACAATCCAATTTAAAAATGAACTAAAATATTTATACAGGAATTTACAAGAGGATAGCCAAGTGACCAATAAGTGTATATGGTAAAAAGCTATTCAACATTATTGGGAAATTATCATTAAAACCACACTGAAATACCACTACATATGTGCAGTGCAGAATAGCACACAAAACAAAGAAAAAAACAACCACCTGACAATCTATATATATAAAAGTATAATATGCAAATCGACCAAACAGCCGAACAGCAGAATGACCATCTGGATGACCACACTATGACACATACTGGCACCAGGCCAGCCAAGGCGGGTGTGATGCGATTGGTTGGGGGGCCCCATTGTGGCCCCACAATTGCCCACAGAGGGAGGCCCAGGCCACCGGCCAGTGGGGCAATCAATGGGGGGTAAGGAGGTGGGGTGACCATGGACACGGGCAGCACCAGGCCAAGGTGGGTGTGGGTGGGGATGGGGCCGCCGCAGGCAGGCCTAGGGACCCCACCCGTGCATGAATTTTGTGCACAGGCCTCTAGCATGAGATAAAAGAGCACTTAAATACTGCTATGTTGGTGGGAATGTAAATTGGTAGCATCAAATTTGGAAACAATTTTAAGCTGAACATACTTATGACCCAGCATATTCACTACCTCACCAAAAGGAGAGGTATACATAGGGGTAGCAAAATATATTTAATAAACATTTGTAAAATTGTTCATAACAGCCAAAATTGTAGGCATACAATGAAATATGACAGCTATAAAAGAGAATCTCACAACATACAACTGAACAAAGAAGAGCGACGGAAGATAATACATACTAAATTATTACATTTATGTAAAGTCTG